AAGGGGCAATTGGTAGAAGGTGTCGTACAAGGTCTTGTCAATACCGGGGCTTGAGAGGAAGGACGCGAAGATGTGAGAACAGACTGAGGTGTTGTAGTAGGGACGTCTGAGCCCAAGGCAGCAAAAGAATTAGATAATGGAGTGGCTATGAGAGGGGTAACAGCAGAGGAGGCTGCAGAAGATGGGACCCCAGAAGTGAGGGGACGTTTGGAAACACGGGAGTAAGAAACACGGGGCAGTCTCCCTTGGAGGCGGATATGAGAAACTGCCATAGCATAAGGGAGACCTGCCTCTTTGAGACAATGGATTTCACGCTCATTTAAGTAGACCTGGCAACGGCAAGAGTACGAAGGGTGAGCCTCATGACAATTAAGGCAAGAGGGTGGTTGACTGCAAGTCGTATTAGTATGGTCATCAGCACCACAGACTGGGCATTCGGCTATAGATCTGCAATATTTTGCTGGGTGACCAAATTGCCAGCAATTTCTACATTGTTGGGGTGTAGGGATCACCTTTCAAACTTGCTACATAAACAGAGGATGGGAGTTCATGGCTGTCGAAAGTTAATCGAGCCACATTGTAAGGGTATCGTCTCCGCCCGCGGGCAGGAAGGACATAAGTGTCTACTTTGAGGATTGGGAGATCCTGGAGTTCCAGTTGTTCAAGAATGTCATTGCCTAGAAATTCTGTTGGACTATGGTATGGGGCAGAATGACAGTACCACTACAAGAGTTGAGGGAATGATGTTTTTCAATAGTGATAGGAATAGTATCGATATGTGAAAGGAGAGAAAGATCATGAGCTTGGGTAGCATTCTGGACAGTGACGATGCGCGTACTGCTCGAGAGCATGAAAGGAAATATCTCTACCAACATGGCATAGGAGCGCTTTGCCAATACTATGGTCGGAAAGATAAGCAACAGAAGAAGTCGGTCGTAAAGTAAAGAATTTAGTCCATTGTGCAGTCCGAAACTGAGCATGGAAATAGAGTTCATGACGTGTCGGTCTTTTCCGAGTAGAATGGGAAGGTAACGAAGTAACATCATCAGGAGATTGTCGTTGGTGTTTAGAAGTGGGACCAGAGTTGGTCCGACGTGGGACAGGCTGGCGATTCGAAAATTGCCACACCGTAGAGGGAGAGGCCGGAAGCATAGTCAAAGGAGGGCGGAGGTCAGACAAATTGGAGGAGTCAGATGAGACCCCGGTACCTGAAGCTGGTGATGAAACAACACCAGCAAGAGGTACAGGGGCATCAGGAGTGTCCAAAGAGTGGTCAAAAAACGAGGCAGGGTCAGAACGGGGTGCGGTACCAGTAAGGGGCCTGGAGGTAGCAGGTTCATAGACTAGGGATTCCATGGTTAGGTTACTTCTTTCTTTTTGTTTTTAAGAAAAAAAAAAGAAAAGAAAATTAAAAAAAAAAAAAAAAAAAAAACAGGGGGAACAGGGAGGAATAGTTCCTAGGAGGAATGAAAGGGCCAGATCACACCCTCCGTGCCCAAGAGGACCTCAACACCGCAAGTAGTGCAGATGCAGCATGGAACCCGTGCCATACCTTACCCTTCATGCTAGTAAACCAGCAATCCAGGATAGCAACCTCACATCTGCTGAGCTACCTCGGTGGACAAAAGAGAGGGCAGCCGGATATCCACCACAAAGCATACCTCCTTTGGCCACCACCCCCGGAATCCGAAAGGTGGCCTCCAGAGATACACCCGTCGCCCGAAAGACACCCAAAGCCACCCCCCGGAAGACCGGAGAGGGAACGGGATATCCCCAGGCGATCCAGATTCCACGGCAAACTACACCACCGCCAAGAACCTCAACAGAATGGGATTGACCCCGGCACCTTTCCCCCTACCTAGGAACCAGTAGGCCTGTGGGAAGAATCCCAAAGGCCAAAAAGAGGAAGGGAATAAAGGATGGATGGAGGGGGGAGGAAAGGAAAGAGGGAGGATGGGGAGGATGGGATAGGGAAGGGGGGATTGGGGGGTAATTAGGTTCAGTCTGAAGAAGGAGACCAACAGGTCTAATTCCTCAGACCAAGAGCCTCTTCACCATGCCAAGGAGCCCCCCTTGAAGAGGGGCACCTTTTGAAATTTGTGTGAAATTGGCAAAATTGCCAATTCCGGACCACTTTATTGGATAGTTGAAATCGGTAAATGGGTGGTTTCTTGTACTCATTCGATAGAAAAAAATGGAGTTCTAGCGAAATAGTTATGATTTTTGTCAACTAGTACATTGGAAATGGCCAAAAACAGGGCTCAAAGTGGGCAAAATCGCTGATGTGTAAACATCATCGAGACCACTAACTTCATGAGAGCATAATTCCATAAGTTTTCTATCAAATTTCATACTTTTGGTGTCATGATCGGGAAAAGATTCGCTATCATTTCATAAGAAAAAATAATTTTTTTTTTCGAAAAATTTCCAACCCTGAAAACAAGTTTAGGAGTGGGTCTGCCGACCCTGAAAGGGTTAAATGCCAATATTGATACCATCAAATTGTCTACTGATACTGATACCAATATCAATATTCTGATGCCCCTAAATGAAACTCAAAGAAACATTTAAATTTCCTATAAATTTTATTTTTGAATTTAAGAGACTGCTTTGTTATTAAATCAAGATTTATCAAAGAAGGCCCTGATGTAACCTACTGTACACAGATCAAAGGAACAAAATTTTTTAGGTCAAAGGAACAAAACTTTTTATAAGATTTAGAAACATGAACTGTTACACATAAGAATGACAGTCACTTGATACAACATACAGTATTTAACCCTTAACCCTTTAGGGGTTTCGGCCGTACTAGTACGGCTTACGTACCAGGGTTTTTGATGTACTAGTACGCCTAAATTCTAGCGCCCTCAAATCTAGCAAGAGAAAGCTAGCAGGCCTACATATGAAAGAATGGGTCTATGTGGTCAGTGTGTGCAGTATAAAAAAATCCTGCAGCACACAGTGCGTAATGAGAAAAAAAAAACTTTGACCGTGTTTTTGGTTTAAAACAGTGACTTTGCACTGTATTTTCGTATGGTATTTTTTGTTCTATTCTAGTTTTCCTGGCCTCATTGTATAGAATGGAAGACATATTACATAAATTGAGATGATTTTGACTGGTTTTACAATGAAAAGTACCTTGAAATTGAGCTCAAAGTAGCAGAAATGTTCGATTTTTACAAAGTTCAAAAGTAAACAAATCATGCTAAGCGTCCCATACATGTCAACTGGTAAGTCTAATATTCTTTCACAAGTGCGCCGATATTATTTATACCATTTCTACACTAATGCAGTAGTCTGCATAACAGTAAATCTTTTTTTTTTTGTGAGAATAAAAAATCAAAGTGGAAAGCAAAAGAAATGTAAGAGGGGCCTGGGGACGTGACTAATGAACAGAGGTTATTTTAGTGCCAGGAATGTCTTTCTTGTTTATTCTGGACCCTATTTGGAAATTGGCATCTTTTGAGATTTGTGTGAAATTGGCAAAATTGCTAAATTCTGACCACTTTATTGGATAGTTGAAATCAGTAAATGGGTGGTTTCTTGTACTCATTCAATAGAAGAAAACGGAGTTCTAGCGAAATAGTTATGATTTTTGTCGACTAGTACACTGGAATTGGCCAAAAATAGGGCTCTAAGTGGGCAAAATCGCCGATGCGTAAACATCGTCAAGACCGCTAACTTCGCGAGAGCATAATTCCGTAAGTTTTCCATCAAATTTCATACTTTTGGTGTCATTATGATCGGGAAAAGATTCTCTATCTTTTCATAAGAAAATTTTTTTTTTTTTTTTTTTAAATTTGGGCGGCCCTGAGAACAAATCTCTGAGAGGGCCTGGTGACCCTCAAAGGGTTAAACTGTCCAAACGTAGATCTATGTTTGCTCGCATAGCACTCCGAACGTAGATCTACATTTTTTTTTTACATTGTTATGGAGAAAATCAAGATTGGAACGCTATGCGCACAAACATAGATCTACGTTTGGACAGTTTAAGGGTTAAGAAATAAATACATTAACATAGTAAAATATAAAAAAAAATCATGAGAAAAACATTTAACATTATATACATTTGTATACTGACTACATTCTGTTATGACCACAGTCAATCTCTTCTCAAGAATCACAAAATCAAGTAAAATATTATGGCAATTGCTACATTTATATAAGAGTGAAAAGATAGGATCTATTACTGTGGTAATTTTAATGATAAATGCTCAATTCACTACATAATCCAATTATGTAGATGAATGGTTCAGAGAACCGACAAGTTGATAAATTAGACACGTGCAACACTTGGGTATCTTTAATGAGGAAATGTTTCGCCACACAGTGGCTTCATCAGTCCATACAAAGGAGAACGGTGAAAAACAGGAGGAGAATGAGGTAATCAGTCCCTCAGCCTTGAGTCGATGTGGTCAGTCCATCAATCTTGAAAAGAATACAGCATATGTGCGAAGAAATAGCTTATATACTGTAGGCAGGAGAGGTGCAGCAGTAGTAGGTGGTATCACATTTGACCAATGTGGAAGTAAGTCATGCCCAAGGGTTAGGCAAGTGAAGAATTCCCTGTATTAAGATCCCCTGTATTAAAATCCGTTGCTGTGTTCTTCATCGTTCTCCTTTGTATAGACTGATGAAGTCACTGTGTGGCAAAACATTTCCTCCTTAAGAATACCCAAGTGTTGCACGTGTCTAATTTATCAACTTGTCGGTTCTCTGAACCATTCATCTACATTCCTGTCTGACACAGCAACATCTTGGGATCTTAATACAGGGAATTCTTCACTTGCCTAACCCTTGGGCACGACCTACTTCCGCATTGGACAAATGTGATACCACCTACGACTGCTGCACCTCTCCTGCCTACAGTATATAAGCTACTTCTTTGTACATATGCTGTATTCTTTTCAGATTGATGGACTGACCACATCGACTCAAGGCTGAGGGACTGATTACCTCAAACTACTCCTGTTCTTCACCATTCTCTTTTGTATGGGCTGATGAAGCCACTGTGTGGCGAAGCGTTTCCTCATTAAAGATACCCAAGTGTTGCACATGTGTCTAATTTATAACCCAATTATCTTACTTGAGAACAAGAACACTATGTAATATTTTGCTCTCGGTGTTACAAAGGTTTACAACTACTGTTCAAAGCATTTTTAAAGTAAGCCAGTAGAAGGCCTCAGTCAGATGACCAAAACCTCCAGCAGCAGGTCATCACATGACTAAGACCTGTGTCAGGAAACACTTGTCCTGTTTCCTGATGAATTTTACCTAACTTAATAATTCAGCCTCTTCTCTCTTAGCGACGTACCCGTTTACCGACAACTCGGACTTACGCAGGGATCTCTGACCAATATGCATACTTAAATAATGCATATTAGAGCTGATTTCCTCTGCTCTATTTATTACAATATACAGTACACTACTGTATAACCATTTAAAAATATACTAAAAATGTTATAAATGGTGCAAAGGTGACACTAAAACAATATCAAAGATGGCTGACACAAACCCACTACTATTATAGTATGCTCCTTGCTTAGTGACGAATTCGTTTACCAACATGGTCTTAGGGACAGAACTCAGTCAGTAAGTGAGGAGAGGCTGCACACAAAAGTACTGACAAGTATCAGCAATTAACATATTCTTATTCCAGAGAAAATGTTCTGTTTTGAGTAAAAAGCCTTATAAAAATAATGTATAACAAAGCTTCCAAAAAATCTGTAATTTTTAACTATAGAAAAATGAATTTCTACAAAAGTATTGTTGGACTTAAATCTACCATTTGGCACAGTACCTGGGAGTCATTACCATTATCAAGGAAATTCACACTATGAATAATATGACAAACAGAAAGGTACATGTATTTATCCATATCTAATATTTCACAGAGTGTTTTAACCTAAGAGAGTTATTGCATGTAAAATTATACAAAGTAATACTTCCTTTGATTCAGTGGGGTGTATTAGGGGTGATCTGTGGAGTAAGCAGAGTTGAAGTACACCCATGGTAAGTGGTGGAGCTATAGTCCTGTTGATCATCCATAATTGTAGGCACATTTATCATAACATTCAATAAAGGAGGATCATGTGTATGCAAACAATGCCAGTAAGTCATCATACATTATGCACCTTAAGGGAATAAATTATTACTCTGCCAGAATGGTTTCATTTTCTGTTTAGCAGATACTGAAGTTCAATATTTTCCACAATTCATTTATTTTGACTAAAATAGGTGATCATTTTTACTACAACAAATGTTAGATCAGTAGTGGCAGTAAAATGAGCATGTATGCTATACATTTACAAGACTGTACAATAATGAGGTTAAAAATTATAGTTAATGAGGTCCAGTCTCTAATTCTAATGACTTTAATCAAATAAACTGTTATTAATTTTACAAACAGAACTGGCGAAGGGCTCTTGATTCAAGGAATTAGAATTATCTTCCACTTCCTTGGATCAAACCTGAGTGCCTCCCATTCCCCATGCACCATACAACCACTATGGGTTTAGCACTTTCCATAAACATAATAATTTACAAGTGGAGGTAGATATGAAAGGCTTATAAAGGGTAATAACCTAGGGTCAATGGACCACTCATGCAATACATTATGTTCATGTATCCACACAATCAAAATTCTTCTGTACATTTCCTAATTCCTGAATGCCGACAAAACACCTTCAAAACTGTTAACAGTAAACAATGTACATTCATTTCAACAACAGACTAGTAAAGCAATTAACTAAGATGGAAAAATATTGTACAAAAAATTATAAAAAATTACAACAGTTAAAATAACTAACTAGCCTGTGGAAAAAAAAAAACCACTGCATGTACAAAAAGAGAAAAATTAGCAAGTTATTAAGGTAACTTCTCACATGATAATAAAATACAGTAATAGCCATACACATTATGGAAATGTATACTACATATTTATTCTTAAGATAATTATAAGAGTACAGGATAAAAATATAGCAATAATAAACTGTCTCTACAAAGTATAATTTACAAATGATTCAGGAACAGATGACACTGTTCACATACTTTACAGAAATGACATAAATGATATTTTTGGTAATTAAAGGTCTCATCAAGGATATTTTTAGGTCAAACTGTCCTTATAGCAAAGATTCCCAAAATTTTCTTTATCACCACTCCCCTAACCCCCCCCCCCCCAAAAAAAAAAAAAAAGATCTTCATTTCTTGACCAATTTATACCAAACCAGTATGAACCCACCACACAAGTATGAAATTATTATACACAATAAAATAAATGTACTACATTGATACAAATACTAAAAATCTATTCTGAAATTTAGTTAAAAAAAATTCAATCCAAAATCTACACTTTGACCAATCTGTGCCAAATATGAAATCACTGCACACACACACCAGGAGCTATGATTCGACCCCTGCAACAACAATTAGGCGAGTACACCAACAAAATATACACATAAAAAAATCAATGTACTTGATAAACAAACAAAGAAATAATTGCCGAGATAAATATTTCCAACCTTGCCTGATTGCAATGGAATAGCAGCAATGATTCTAGCAGGTGGCAGAGTAGCAGTAACCTTGCCAGCAGCTGGCATAGTAGTAGCAACCTTGCCAGCAGCTGGCAGAGTAGCAGTAACCTTGCTAGCAGCATCAGATGCTTGTGCTAGTAATGAAGTTATCAGCTTCACACATGACTGCCATTTTCCTCATAAAACATCTAATGAAAATGCATAAAATTTATTCACAAACAATGAAATACACTACTGAAATAAAAGCTTTAGTTTTAGTTATACATGTATAATGTAACAGCATTTTACTTCTACAATTGTAAATAAAATGGCAAATACTATTTTTATAGCGAATACTGTAATTCATTTCTAAATTTTCTTATATTTTTTTAACATCAGCTGTTGCCCACCAAGGTAGGGTGACCTGAAAGAGAAGAAGCACTTTCACCATCACTCTACAATCATCTTAACACAGGTGTGCCAACACTATAACTCAGATGACCCTCTAAGCTGCAACATGCCCAATAGTAATAATAATTCTCTGGTCACACTGCCTTGGTGGGAGGCATGCCACCTGCCAAGGCAGAGGACCTAAATAATTTAATAATAATAATAATAATAATAATAATTTTTTTATTATTAACACATCGGCCAATTCCCACCAAGGCAGGGTGGCCTGAAAAAAGAAACTTTCATCATCATTCACTACATCACTGTCTTGCCAGATGGGTGCTTTACACTACAGTTTATAAAGCTGCAACATTAACACCCCTCCTTCAGAGTGCAGACACTGAACTTCCCATCTACAGGACTCGAGTCCGGCCTGCCGGTTTCCCTGAATCCCTTCATAAAGGTTACTTTGCTCACACTCCAACAGCAAGTCAAGTATTAACAACCATTTGTCTCCATTCACTCCTATCAAATACGCTCACGCATGCCTGCTGGAAGTCCAAGCCCCTCACACACAAAACCTCCTATACCCCCTCCCTCCAACCTTTCTTAGGCCTACCCCTACCCCGCCTTCCTTCCACTACATACTTATACACTCTCAAAGTCATTCTGTTTCGTTCCATTCTCTCTACATGTCCGGATCACCTCAACAACCCTTCCTCAGCCCTCTGGACAACAGTTTTGGCAATGCCGTACCTCCTCCTAACTTCCAAACTACGAATTCTCTGCATTATATTCACACCACACATTGCATTCAGACATGACATCTCCACTGCCTCCAGCCTTCTCCTTGCTGCAACATTCACCACCCATGCTTCACACCCATATAAGAGCGTTGGTAAAACTATACTCTCATACATTCCCCTCTTTGTTTCCAAGGACAAAGTTCTTTGTCTCCACAGACTCCTAGGTGCACCGCCCACTCTTTTCCCCTCATCAATTCTATGATTCACCTCATCTTTCATAGACCCATCTATTAATAATAATAATAATAATAATAATAATAATAATAATAATAATAATAATAATAATAATAATAATAAACAAATAAAAATAAATAAATTGGCAAAGTACTGGTATGTGCTTAAAATCCTCAGACTGATGGTGTTACAGTTTAATTTATACTTATTTTGGCAAAACAGGCATAAAACAACCATGCACTCATAAAATTAACTGCATCACTGACTAACCTACTATTCAATATCCAGTAATTAGCTGTTCATTAGGAAAACAAAAAATCCTAGATTCCACTTCTATAAGACTCACTTTAATGTGAATAAAAGCATCCTTAGAAATTTTTCTAATTTTACTAATGTGAAGCATACACTGAGCAAAAACAGTGTGATAGCTTTGAAAACACAGCTTCAAGAGAAGTCCCATCACCCTTCCTTTCCTTTCCAACCAGATTGTCAGCCCTAAGCCCCTTCTATATAGAAATTCTGAAGTTGCCCCTGTTTAGTGGTCGTACACAGCCATGTCACCCTGCCTCAGTGGAAGAGAGCCAGTGTGTTAAAAAGAAAAATAACCATGCTGAAATAAAAATTTGACAGGTAGATTGAGTTTTATTTTATGGGGAAAGGGGATTAGGAGGGAGGAATTTTAGCCATTTCAACAATACATTTTAAATATTCTGGGCAAATGAAGGATGGTGAATGCATTTCCTTTTTTTAGGTATCCCCAACTTGGTGCAAAATGGCCAATGTAATAAAAAATGATAACAGAATTTGAACTATGAAATAAAAGTAAGTGTTGTGATAAATGATTTAGATAATCAACACATTAAAGAATGAGACACTTGTGCAGCATTTGAGAATCTTCAATGAGGAAACGTTTCGCCACACAGTGGCTTCATCAGTCCAATACAAAGAAAAATGGTAGAAAAAGAGTAGTAGTTTGAGGTAATCAGTTGCTCGGCCTGGACTCAGTCGATGGACTGAACACACAGATTCCTGGCTGAAGGATTGATCACCTCCAACTCCTCCTCTTTTTCGACCTTTCTTCTTTGTACTGGAGTGATGAAACCACTATGTGGTCAAACATTTCCTCAATAAAGATTATCAAATGTTGCAGAAGCATCTCATTCTCCAAAACTGTTAATTACAACCAGATAAAACTGTATGCTATGCAGAGTTATGGACAGGCATTTCAAGTTGAGGTATATTATATCTAGCATAAAATAGATGCCACACACTCTTCACCTTCATGACTTCTTCATAGGTAAACTGATAAATAGAAGCTTGTCAATAATAGTCATAATTTGAGTTTTCACTGACTAACTATGTCTTATGACGACCTACCATTTTTAGTTAATTCACAGTTGAATAAATTGAATAATCTTCATCTTGCTTTTTCGTATGTGTTGCAAAGTTTTTTGGTAGATTCAAGTATTTTGCTGATGAAGTGGGCAAGCAGGATTTCCCCAAATCACTTATACTTGCTGATTTGATCATCTCTTGATGTATTTTTATCTGTTGAGGAAAAAATTAAAAAACTATATAGGATAATAAGTATGGTATACTAAATATTGTACAGCACTGTTTTCCCTCTGTATCCAAAATGGTTGTCTGTAAACATGGTGAAATTATGGCTACAAATCCTATACAGATCAACCATCACTAATCCGGCATCACTGGGACCTGTAGGGTGCCAGATCAGTGATTTTGCCAGATCACAGAGTAGTTAGGTTAGAATACACTTAACCCTACAACTAACCACCTCATTCTACCTTTAACCTTTAAACTGTCCAAATGTAGATCTACGTTCACTTGCCCAGAACTCCCAATACAGTGGACCCCCGGTTTACGATATTATTTCATTCCAGATGTATGTTCAGGTGCCAGTACTGACCGAATTTGTTCCCATAAGGAATATTGTGAATTAGATTAGTCCATTTCAGACCCCCAAACATACACTTACATAAATACACTTACATAATTGGTCGCATTGAGAGCTGTTCATATACCGGGGGTCCACTGTATTTTGAGAGAGAAAAAAAAAAGCTTTTTTTTTTTAACATAGAGGACATTATTCTACACATTACAGTGGACCCCTGGTTAATGATATTTTTTCATTCCAGAAGTATGTTCAGGTGCCAGTACTGACCGAATTTGTTCCCATAAGGAATATTGTGAAGTAGATTAGTCCATTTCAGACCCCCAAACATACACGTACAAACGCACTTACATAAATACACTTACATAATTGGTCGCATTGGGAGGTGATCGTTATGCGGGGGTCCACTGTATAAGATAAAAAATTTTTTAGGATCAGTACTTACTGAGATAGGTATAATCCTGTGAAGTTGGCACTGGATGCTCACCCGATGGCAACGTGGAGTCCTGCTGCTTGCAGAAGTGTTGCCGATATACCTTTTTTGGTAATTTTTATACAGTACTATTTTATATAATTATAATGTTCTGATAACTGCAGTGCAGGAGGGAAGAGGAGCGATTGGTGGAATGATGATGTAAAGAGAGTAGTAAGGGAAAAAAAGTTAGCATATGAGAAGTTTTTACAAAGTAGAAGTGATGCAAGGAGGGAAGAGTATATGGAGAAAAAGAGAGAGGTTAAGAGAGTGGTGAAGCAATGTAAAAAGAGAGCAAATGAGAGAGTGGGTGAGATGTTATCAACAAATTTTGTTGAAAATAAGAAAAAGTTTTGGAGTGAGATTAACAAGTTAAGAAAGCCTAGAGAACAAATGGATTTGTCAGTTAAAAATAGGAGAGGAGAGTTATTAAATGGAGAGTTAGAGGTATTGGGAAGATGGGGGGAATATTTTGAGGAATTGTTAAATGTTGATGAAGATAGGGAAGCTGTGCTTTCGTGTATAGGGCAAGGAGGAATAACATCTTGTAGGAGTGAGGAAGAGCCAGTTGTGAGTGTGGGGGAAGTTCGTGAGGCAGTAGGTAAAATGAAAGGGGGTAAGGCAGCTGGGATTGATGGGATAAAGATAGAAATGTTAAAAGCAGGTGGGGATATAGTTCTGGAGTGGTTGGTGCAATTATTTAATAAATGTATGGAAGAGGGTAAGGTACCTAGGGATTGGCAGAGAGCATGCATAGTTCCTTTGTATAAAGGCAAAGGGGATAAAAGAGAGTGCAAAAATTATAGGGGGATAAGTCTGTTGAGTATACCTGGTAAAGTGTATGGTAGAGTTATAATTGAAAGAATTAAGAGTAAGACGGAAAATAGGATAGCAGATGAACAAGGAGGCTTTAGGAAAGGTAGGGGGTGTGTGGACCAGGTGTTTATAGTGAAACATACAAGTGAACAGTATTTAGATAAGGCTAAAGAGGTCTTTGTGGCATTTATGGATTTGGAAAAGGCGTATGACAGGGTGGATAGGGGGGCAATGTGGCAGATGTTGCAAGTGTATGGTGTAGGAGGTAGGTTACTGAAAGCAGTGAAGAGTTTTTACGAGGATAGTGAGGCTCAAGTTAGAGTATGTAGGAAAGAGGGAAATTTTTTCCCAGTAAAAGTAGGCCTTAGACAAGGATGTGTGATGTCACTGTTGTTGTTTAATATATTTATAGATGGGGTTGTAAGAGAAGTAAATGCGAGGGTCTTGGCAAGAGGCGTGGAGTTAAAAGATAAAGAATCACACACAAAGTGGGAGTTGTCACAGCTGCTCTTTGCTGATGACACTGTGCTCTTGGGAGATTCTGAAGAGAAGTTGCAGAGATTGGTGGATGAATTTGGTAGGGTGTGCAAAAGAAGAAAATTAAAGGTGAATACAGGAAAGAGTAAGGTTATGAGGATAACAAAAAGATTAGGTGATGAAAGATTGAATATCAGATTGGAGGGAGAGAGTATGGAGGAGGTGAACGTATTCAGATATTTGGGAGTGGACGTGTCAGCAGATGGGTCTATGAAAGACGAGGTGAATCATAGAATTGATGAGGGAAAAAGAGTGAGTGGTGCACTTAGGAGTCTGTGGAGACAAAGAACTTTGTCCTTGGAGGCAAAGAGGGAATGTATGAGAGTATAGTTTTACCAACGCTCTTATATGGGTGTGAAGCATGGGTGATGAATGTTGCAGCGAGGAGAAGGCTGGAGGCAGTGGAGATGTCATGTCTGAGGGCAATGTGTGGTGTGAATATAATGCAGAGAATTCGTAGTTTGGAATTAGGAGGAGGTGCGGGATTACCAAAACTGTTGTCCACAGGGCTGAGGAAGGGTTGTTGAGGTGGTTCGGACATGTAGAGAGAATGGAGCGAAACAGAATGACTTCAAGAGTGTATCAGTCTGTAGTGGAAGGAAGGCGGGGTAGGGGTCGGCCTAGAAAGGTTGGGGGGAGGGGGTAATGGAGGTTTTGTGTGCGAGGGGCTTGGACTTCCAGCAGGCATGCGTGAGCGTGTTTGATAGGAGTGAATGGAGACAAATGGTTTTTAATACTTGACGTGCTGTTGGAGTGTGAGCAAAGTAACATTTATGAAGGGGTTCAGGGAAACCGGCAGGCCGGACTTGAGTCCTGGAGATGGGAAGTACAGTGCCTGCACTCTGAAGGAGGGGTGTTAATGTTACAGTTTAAAAACTGTAGTGTAAAGCACCCTTCTGGCAAGACAGTGATGGAGTGAATGATGGTGAAAGTTTTTCTTTTTCGGGCCACCCTGCCTTGGTGGGATTCGGCCAGTGTGATAATAATAATAACAATAACTGCAATTTATATTAGTTCTTGTGATTTCACAGCCAATCTTTGTTTTGACACTTTATATATCCATATGCTGATAAATCTGTTGTTGTCATATCCATATGTTGATAAATCTACACTAATATTAGGTACTGAAATTGTACTCAAATAGTCACAAACACACTGACAGGTGAACATTTTCACCTGCCTTGGTCATTTACTATTATCTAGAAATATATACAAAGTATTTAAAGGTACCAGCAATGTTTTAGACATGCTGGAATGTACAGTGGTACCTTAAGTTTCGAACAGTTCCCAACTCAAACAATTATGTAAGTGTATTTTTGTAAGTGCTTTTGTAAGTGTATTTTTGGGGGTCTGAAATGGACTAATCTAATTTACATTATTCCTTATGGGAACAAATTCGTTTGGTACTGGCACTCGAACAGCCTTCTTGAACGAATTAAGTTCGTAACTCAAGGTACCACTGTATATGAAACTCCTTGAATCATGGTGTAAAACAGAGTGTCATGAAACTGCTGATAGTGCAGCAGTGGTTTGACACTTGATGATTGTGCATTGCTGCAGGGAACCCCTAGCATTATTTGTTTTCACTTCTACACACAAATATGTCTGTCTGTGTCTAGTTCTGTCTGCTTATCTGTCTTTCTGTCTGCCTGTGTCTGTCTGTCTGTCTCTCTTATCTCAGAGAGCAGCTCATGAACCAACAGTTATTACACAGGATGCAGTCACATCTGATTCCTGATCAAGTGAAAATGGTATTACTTGCCAGTCATGCTTATTATGCCTTATACTGAGTATACCAGGAAAAGTGTACGGTAGGGTTATTATTGAGAGAATTAGAGGCAAGACAGAATGTAGAATTGCGGATGAGCAAGGAGGTTTTAGAGTGGGTAGGGGATGTGTAGATCAAGTGTTTACATTGAAGCATATATGTGAGCAGTATTTAGATAAAGGTAAGGAAGTTTTTATTGCATTTATGGTTTTAGAAAAGGCATATGATAGAGTGGATAGGGGAGCAATGTGGCAGACGTTGCAAGTGTATGGAATAGGTGGTAAGTTGCTAAATGCTGTAAAGAGTTTTTATGAGGATAGTGAGGCTCAGGTTAGGGTGTGTAGAAGAGAGGGAGATTATCTCCCGGTAAAAGTAGGTCTTAGACAGGGATGTGTAATGTCACCATGGTTCTTTAATATATTTATAGATGGGGTTGTAAAAGAAGTAAATGCTAGGGTGTTCGGGAGAGGGGTGGGATTAAATTATGGGGAATTAAATACAAAATGGGAAGTGACACAGTTACTTTTTGCTGATGATACTGTGCTTATGGGAGATTTTAACAAAAAATTGCAAAGGTTAGTGGACGAATTTGGGAATGTGTGTAAAGGTAGAAAGTTGAAAGTGAACACAGAAAAGAGTAAGGTGATGAGAGTATCAAATGATTTAGATAAAGAAAAATTGGATATCAAATTGGGGAGGAGTAGTATGGAAGAAGTGAATGTTTTCAGATATTTGGGAGTTGACATGTCAGCGGATGGATTTATGAAGGATGAGGTTAATCATAGAATTGATGAAGAAAAAAAAGGTGAGTGGTGCATTGAGGTATATGTGGAGGCAAAAAATGTTATCTATGGAGGCAAAAAATGTTATCTATGGAGGCAAAGAAGAGAATGTATGAGAGTATAGTAGTACCAACACTCTGATATGGGTGTGAAGCTTGGGTTGTGAATGCAGCAGCGAGGAGGCAGTTGGAGGCAGTGGAGATGTCCTGTCTAAGAGCAATGTGTGGTGTAAATATTATGCAGAAAATTCGGAGTGTGGAAATTAGGAGAAGGTGTAGAGTTAATAAAAGTATTAGTCAGAGGGCTGAAGAGGGTTTGTTGAGGTGGTTAGGTCATTTAGAGAGAATGGATCAAAGTAGAATGACATGGAGAGCATATAAATCTGTAGGGGAAGGAAGGCGGGGTAGGGGTCGTCCTCGAAAAGGTTGGAGGGAGAGGGTAAAGGCGGTGTTGTGGGCGAGGGGTTTGGACTTCCAGCAAGCGTGTGTGAGCGTGTTAGATAGGAGTGAATGGAGACAAATGGTATTTGGGACCTGATGATCTGTTGGAGTGTGAGCAGGGTAATATTTAGTGAAGGGATTCAGGGAAACCGGTTATTTTATATAACCGGACTTGAGTCCTGGAAATGGAAAGTACAATGCCTGCACTCTAAAGGAGGGGTTTGGGATATTGGCAGTTTGGAGAGATATATTGTGTATTTTTATATGTACACCTACCATCCGACTTACGACTGAGTTCGGTTCCGAGAAACCGGTCGTAAGTCGAAATGGTTGTAAGTCGAAATGGTCGTAAGTCGAAATGGTCGTAAGTCGAACTTTACTACTGAATATCAACAAAACATTTTTGTAATGGCTTTATTTTATTGTTTTATTTTGGTATTTCATGTTTTACTTTACTTTTTATGCTGTTAGTACTGTATTTTATACTGTAAGGATTAGGATAAACACTGTGTACAACACAAATAGTCGTTTATTTCCCAGAAATTTGGCATAAAAAACACGGTCATAAGCCGAGTGGTCGTAAGTCGGATGGTAGATGTATATACTTCTAGACTGTTGTATTCTGGGCACCTCTGCAAAAACAGTGATTATATGTGAGTGAGGTGAAAGTGTTGAATAATGATGAAAGTATTTTCTCTTTGGGGATTTTCTTTCTCTTTGGGTCACCTTGCCTCGGTGGGAGATGGCCGACTTGTTGAAAAAAAAAAAAAAATCTACAAGCACAGTGTATAGCACTGGATTTTTTTTGGGTCATCCTACATAATTTACACTATGTATGATAACTGCAGTTATGTGTACTTGTGACAGAGACAGAGATAGACAGAGACAGACAGATACAGATGAAGAGACAGCCATAGTCAGTCAATCAAGTCAGTCAAGTCAGCCAGTCAATCAGTCAGTCAGCCAGCCAGCCAGTCAGCCAGCCAGATGAATAGGTATTACACATTCCAGAATCATTCCTCTTTACTTAGGGCATAGGTTATAGGACATTCTGGCAGGATGACACTACCAGTGGTATCATAAATAAAAGGATGTTGAACAAATGTTGCACATGGGTTATTATCGAGGTTATTGATATTTCCTCGACCACTTGTGGCCACATCCATCTCAAAGCCACTAAACTCTGGGTCAACATCACTTTCCTCAAAAGGGGAGTGTTAATATGACATGGCATCAGCGACTCCCTGGTGTTTGCCACTCTATTTGCTCTATCTGGCGCTTAATTGAACTGGTGCTCCCACAAGGTACTAAGTTGTCCCAGATTTTTTTAATACTGCACACACCGAGTGTTAAGACCCATTCTATACTAACCAGGCATCTCAGGCCAATCATGACAAATTTGAAGGCAGGAAAAATAAAACGTAGATTTACGTTTGGAGCATTAGCGGTACAAACGTAGATCTACGTTTGGACAGTTTAAGGGTTAAAATATCCTGTAAATCAGAACAAGTTGGATAATGAAGGTAACCAACTTGACTTACGCAAGAAAGTTCATCACTGCCACTTCCAAAGTGAAGAGCGGAAATTTACAACTAAGCACATTTACATGTCTTGAGGTGAAGGGTTGTCAGGACTGCCATCTTCATCTTGGAGATGACTGAGATATCAGGAACTGATGATGACAGCAGCAGGACATCTGGGTGAGCAGATGATAAAGGCACTAGTTTTTCAAGTGGTGACTCTTCTGTTGCACACTTTTTAGCTACTTTTTTTAACACATCTTACAAGCTGAGCTGTTTCATCAATATCAATCGAGACTCTTTCTGCTACATCTTCCTCATTTTCATCACTGCTTTCTCCTCTGCTTGATTGCTGCTGTGGACTTACAACCATCTGTACAATTTCTGAGCCAGTATAATGATGAACAGTAGCTGCATCTTCATCTACATTCATCCATTCCTCAACATTATCTTCATCCATCCTCAATGCAAGATCTTTTAAGGCCACTGTACGATGTTTGCGCTTTACACAATAAGCATTTCCTTTATTCACTGAAACCATGGCTGAGTCTAAAAGTGAGAAGGTTATAACAATAAATAAAGAAAAACAAATTGGAATGGTTTCCTGTGTTTGCAAGTGACACCAACAGTGTTTATGCAGCAAGCAGTGCCACCAAACAGTAGCGGCAGGTTGGTGCAGTGACCTGGCAAATCTGAAATTATGCTAGCCGAAATCAGTGATGGAACCAGATTAGCGATTGCCGGATCAGTGATGGCCAACCTGAACCATTTCTTTGTGGTTGTAGGAGCCAAGCTCATGGGTAATTCAGTAACACTGTCCACAGGTTATTAGTACATATTTATATATCACTGTTGGCAAATCTGTAAATGCAAAACTCGTGGATACGAAGGAAATACAATTATCTGTAGGATCCAATTTTAAAGGCTACTTATGCAGTAATGTCAGAATCTAACATTTAATTTTCCAAAACATCACTTACAAATAACAATCCTGAATTCAGGGAAACTGGTCAGCGGGACTTGAGTCCTGGAGGTGGAATGTAGAGTGCCTGCACTCTAAAGGAGGGGTGGGGATATTTGCAGTTTGCAGAGGCATCTGAACTGTACTATCAGGTCACCTCTGGCAAGACAGTGACAGAGTGAATAATGATGAAAGTGTTTCTTTTTCAGGTCACCCTACCTTGGTGGGAGACGACCAGTGTGTTAAAAAAAAATTTAAATTTTTATATCCATTACAGTGTATGAATCTGGATAATATAAAATACATAACACTTACCTCATGTAGTGATGGTGAATTAATATCTTCTGCTTGCAAGTAAATGTTAGATGCCTCAATTCGTGGAGGAGGTTGTGGTAATCTCTCAACTGTTGTCTTCCCTGAACTATGTATATCATTCTGTTGTGTATCCTGTCAATTAAAAATTGTTATTACCATACAGTGGACCCCTGGTTTTTGTCCAGTGCAAAAATCATTCAATTCAGATTTTGAGCACTTTTTTCAGCGAAATTCTTCCCCGGGTTTCACACATCCACTCGGAAATCATCCGTATCAGATGCGTCCACCCGCCTGGGATGCTGCTTCTCACGGGTACCAGATTCAGTCTGCCTCTGTCTCTTGTTGAGTTAGCAACACTCTGCACGTTCATCCATTGTTTTTCATGCTTGTTTATTGACTGTGACTGTGAAATTAGTCACCAAGGGGCCAAAGAAAGGTCAGAGTGCCAACCCTTTGTTAAAGAAGGTGAGAAACACAATAGAATTCAAGAAAGAACTTGTAGCAAAATATGAAAGTGGCATACGTGTGGCCGAGCTCGCCAGGATGTATGGGAAGTCAACATCAACAATCAGTTCCGTCCTGGCAAAGAAAGCAGAAATCAAGGATGATGATGTTGCAAAAGTGGTAAATATGCTAACGAAACAGAGATCACAAACAATCGAGGATGTGGAGAAGTTGTTGGTGTGGATCAACGGAAAAGAGTTAGAGGGAGATAGTGTTATGCAGGGCTTTGATAGGGCTTTTGATAGGGTTTTGATACCTGAAGTCCTTATGGAGGGGGATTCCTCTTCCAAACAATAACCTCTCCTCTCTCTCTCCCCTCTTTGCCTTTTTCCATATATCAGCAAGAGTCTTCAATAAAGTTATGTAATAGTGATTTATATATTCATTTATCCATTAAAATTAGTGTTTTATATTCATTTCTCATTGTTTTCTGCATGTAAAACTATAGTTATTCTCTATAAAATGTATATCTTTTAATATTTTTGGGTGTCTGGAATGGATTAATTGGATTTACATTATTTCTTATGGGAAATATTACTTCTGTTTTCGTCCCTTTCAGATTTTGGCTGACCTTCTGGAACGGATTAAGGACGAAAACTGGGGTATTACTGTACATTGTATTCTAATCAACTATTTTCTCAATAATTATCACTGCTATTATTGTTTTTTAACATAACAGACATCTCCCACTTAAGCAGGGTGAACCAAAGAGGAAAACACATTCACTCAATCACTGTCATCCCAGAAGTGTCCTGACATCACAAACAGATTGCACTCCAATTCCAACATTCCCATTCCTCCTCCAGAGTGGAGTCACTGCTTTTCCCACTTCCAGGACTCATGTCCGGTTAACCAGTTTCCCTGAATCCCTTCATAAAAGTTATCTTGCTCCCACTCCAACAGTACATCCACTAAAAATTACTTGTCTCCATGCAATCCTAACAGGTGCTGTTGGAGTGGAATTCAAGGAAACCAATTAGCCAGACTCGAGTCCTGGAGGTGGTAAGTAGAGTGCCTGCACTCTGAAAAAGTGGTGGGGATGTTGTGGTTTGGATGGGCATCCGAGATGTAATATCAGCATACCTCTGGCAAGACAGTGATAAGATTCTTTTCTTTCATATCACCCTACCTCAGTGGGAGATGGTTGGTGTTTTAAATATCAAAATACTGGTGTGTCATCTGTACATTTTTTTTTTTTTTTTTGAACGCATTGGCCATTTCCCACTGAGGCAGGGTGACCCAGAAAGAAAAAAAACCCAAAATCAAAGAAAAGAAATTTCATCACTCAACACTTTCACTATCATTCATACACAATCACTGTCTTTGCAGAGGCGCTTGGATATGACAGTTTAGATGTCCCTCCAAACAGCCAACATCCCAAACTCCTCCTTCAAAGTACAGGCATTGTACTTCCCACCTCCAGGATTCAAGTCCGGCTAAACGGTTTCCCTGAATCCCTTCACAAAATATTACCCTGCTCACACTTCAACAGCTCGTCAGGTCCCAAAAACCATTAATCTCCATTCATTCTTATCTAACACGCTCACGCACGCTTGCTGGAAGTCGAAGCCCCTCATCCACAAAACCTCCTTTACCCCCCCCTCCAACCTTTCCTAAGACAACCCCTAACCTGCCTTCCTTGCCCTACAGACTTATATGCTCTCCAAGTCATTCTACTTTGTTCCATCCTCTCTAAATGACCAAACCACCTCCACAACCCCTCTTCAGCCCTCTGACTAATGCTTTTAGTAACTCCACACCTCTTAATTTCCACACTACGAATTCTCTGCATAATATTCACATCACACGTTGCCCTTATACACAATATCTCCACTGCTTCAAGCCTCCTCCTTGCTGCAGCATGTACATAACCCACATTTCACACCCACATAAGTGCTGGTGCAACTATATTCTCATACATTCCCTTCTTTGCTTCCATGGATGACATTTTTTTGTCTCCACAGATACCTCAACACACCACTCACCTTTTTGCTTCATCAGTTCTATGGTTAACCTCATCCTTCATAAACCCATCTGCTGACAAGTCAACTCCCAAATATCTGAACACATCCACTTCTTCCATACTCCCTCCCTCCAATGTGATATCCAATTTTTCTTTATCTAAATCATTTGATACCCTCATCAACTTACTCTTATCTCTCCAAGAGAGAACCAACAGTAATGGATTTAAATTAGATAAGTTTAGATTTAGAAAGGACATAGGAAAGTTTGGTTTGGAAATAGGGTAGTTGATGAGTGGAACAGTCTACCTAGTTGGGTTATTGAGGCTAGGACTTTGGGTAGTTTCAAATTTAGGTTGGATAAGTACATGAGTGGGAGGGGTTGAATTTGAGTGGGACTTGCACATCAGAGCTTATTTCTTGGGTAGCATTGAAAATTGTGTTGGGCAAATGTTTTGTTAGTGGGATGAATTGTAAAGGACCTGCCTAGTATGGGCCAACAGGCCTCCTGCAGTGTTCCTCCTTTCTTATGTTCTTATGTTAACTGTCTACCTTTACACATCCTCACAGACTCATTCACTAACCTTTGCAACTTTTCTTTAGAATCTCACAAAAAAGACACTTTCACCATCATTCGCTCTGTCACTGTCTTGCCAGAGGTGACCTGATACAATTCAGATGCCCCTGCAAACTGCAAATATCCCCACAGTATCATCAGCAAAAAGTAATTGTGTCAACTCCCATTTTGTATTTGATTCCCCATAATTTAATCCCACCCCTCTCTCCAACACCTCAGCATTTACTTCTTTTACAACCCCATCTAAAAATACGTTAAATAACCATGGTGACGTTACACATGCCTGTCTAAGACCTACTTCTACTGGAAAGTAATCTCCCTCTCTCCTACACACCCTAACTTGAGCCTTGCTATCCTCATAAAAACTCTTTACATGATACGATACTAAAAATCATAAATTTTTTAAGTTCAATTCAGACACTGTCAGAAAAAGATGTTGTGAAAGTAATCCTTGAATAAATTTCAGGATTCAGAGATTTCTTCCCAGGAGCCTGAGGGAGGAGGATGTGATTACTGTATTATGAACAGAGACAAAAGTAAAGTAAAATATGGTGCTCCATATTTGTCTTACAGAAAAACTACAGCTTATCTACTTTGAAGTGTTCAATGTGGACTATAACATTTTTTTTCCTAACCAGATTCAGATTAATGAGATTTAACTGTTACACAAATGTAACAATTTCCTTTAAATTGTAAGATTTCACACACAGTGAGTCTAAAACTCACCTCTCTCATTTCCAGTTGTGGATGACTCTTTGAAGTATTAACACTGGTGTTGGAGATGACACGACTGCTTTCATTATAATTTTCTGATTTGTCTGAAAAACAAAGCAAATTAAATTTGAAAGTTCTACATTGATATTGTTTACTTAGATTTTAGTAAGGCTTTTGATAGAGTTCCACACCAAAGACTGTTAAAGAAAGTGGCAGCTCATGGCATTGGGGGAAGGGTGCTCTCGTGGATCGAATCATGGCTCACAGACAGGAAGCAGAGTGTCCATAAATGGGGTTAAATCCGAGTGGGGATCAGTAACAAGTGGCGTTCCACAGGGATCAGTCTTGGGCCCGTTGTTGTTTATAATATATATCAATGATCTTGTTGAAGGAATTACTAGTGATATGAGCAAATTCGCCGATGACACAAAGATAGGTAGGATAATTGATTCAAACGTAGATGTTAGGGAACTTCAGGAGGATTTAAACAAACTCTATTCTTGGTCAGAAAAGTGGCAGATGCAGTTCAATGTAGATAAATGCAAGGTTCTGAAGCTCGGGAGTGTCCATAACCCTAGCACTTATAAGTTAAATAATGTAGAACTTAGCCATACAGATTGCGAAAAGGACTTGAGGGTTATGGTAAGCAGCAACCTTAAACCAAGACAGCAATGCCTAAGCGTACATAATAAGGCAAATAGATTACTGGGATTTATATCAAGAAGTGTAAGCAACAGAAGTCCAGAGGTCATACTGCAGCTTTATACATCATTGGTAAGGCCTTACCTAGATTATGCAGCTCAATTCTGGTCTCCATATTACAGAATGGACATAAATTCATTAGAAAACATTCAACGTAGGATGACTAAATTAATACATAGCATTAGAAATCTTCCTTATGAAGAAAGATTGAAGACTCTTAAGTTACATTCACTTGTTAGACGAAGAATGAGGGGAGACCTGATCGAAGTGTATAAGTGGAAGATAGGTATTAATAAAGGGGATATTAATAAGGTCTTGGGGATATCTCTCCAAGAGAGAACCCGCAGTAATGGATTTAAATTGGATAAGTTTAGATTTAGAAAGGACATAGGAAAGTATTGGTTTGGAAATAGGGTAGTTGATGAGTGGAACAGTCTACCTAGTTGGGTTATTGAGGCTAGGACTTTGGGTAGTTTCAAATTTAGGTTGGATAAGTACATGAGTGAGAGGGGTTGGATTTGAGTGGGACTTGCACATCAGAGCTTATTTCTTGGGTAGCATTGAAAATTGGGTTGGGCAAATGTTTTGTTAGTGGGATGAATTGTAAAGGACCTACCTAGTATGGGCCAACAGGCCTGATGCAGTGTTCCTCCTTTCTTATGTTCTTATTTAATGTATATATTGTATATCAAACACCAACACCCATATTAAGAATTTTTTTCTTTTAACACACCAGCCATCTCCCACTGAGGTAAGCTGATCTAGAAAAGAAGAAACACTTTCACCATCACTCACACTTATCACTGTTTTGCCAGAGGTATGCTGATACTACAGTTCAGATGCCCCTCCAAACTCCAAAATATCTCTACCCCTCCTTCAAGGTGTCCCATAGCTCGATCGCTAGCACACCCAGCTCACACACTGAGGTCCGGAGTTCGAATCTCCTCTGGTATGGCTGGAAAACATTAGGGACGTGTTTCCACAAGACACCTGCTGACCTTGTTCACCCATCAGCGTAAAATGGGTACCTGGGTGTTAGACAACTGATGTGGGTCACATCCTGCGACAAAACTGACCTAATATGCCCGAAATGCTCAGCATAACAAGCGGCTTTCTATATAGTACATAGTATGTCACTGATGTTAGCTAGGCCTGTATACCATGGAGTGGTGACGTGTACTTAGCTCTGTGAAGACTTGTTTGTGTGCACTCTGTGAATCTGAACCAGGATACCCTCTCTTGAGCAACTCTACCAGCAGCTGGAAGAGGAGCTCAGGGTTGCTAAGCAGGAGATACGGCGATTAACGGAGGAGAACAAGAGGATTCGAAGTAATCCTCCTGTTGTGAGTCCCCAGGTTAAGAGGGGAGCTTGGTCAGTGGCCGGGCAACATGGAACCAAGCTGAGGATCAAGAAGACTGTTGGAGAGACAGAAACAACGAGGACCTAGAAGACTACTGTGGAAACTTCCAACCCATATTCGGTGCTACCTGACGAATGTGGGTGTTCTACTGGGAATGTCACAACGAGCACCAAGGAAGCTTTGGCTGACATGAGTGAGACCCCAACGAAAACCATCGAGAACGTCTTGACGAATTCCACAAGTGAAGGTGTAGTGCTATCTAACGAATGTGAGTCGACTACTGGGAACATCACGACGGACATCGCCAAGGAAGGTAAAAACATTGTTGTTGTTGGGGATAGCCAGATTAGGTACATGGATAGGGTATTCCGCTTGAAGGATAGGAAAAAAAGGCAGAGTGTGTTTTTTCCGGGGGCTGGGATAAAGAATATTTTTTACCAAACGAGAAAAACAAGAGGAAAATTGGGAGCAATCCTATTATCTTTTCCCAGTCCCTGGAGGCAACAAATTTTGGCCCAACGTGGGAAAAGTGAGGACCTGATTACCGGTTTAAGGCCCAGCAATAAAAGATAATTAGGGGGAAAGGGGGGGGAACCCTTTTCCAAGTGGTTTTTGCCAAGGAGAGGATTTTGGAAATAAAATGGTTGCCCCAAGAAATTGGTGTCAACTGCTGGCTGGAAAAATTTTTTAAGGAAAATCCCCTTAAAAATTCATTGAAAAACCGGGGACCTTTTTCCCTACGGCAGAAATACATGTATGCCAGTGAGGGGGTTTCATTTAATCTAGTCGGGGGGTGGGAACACGGGCCCACGCAGGGGAAGGGGGGCGGGTTAGGTCTTTAAACAAGGATAGTTAGTGGTAGGGGTTTTTTGGGGGGAAAAACAGTGAAGTCACAGTGTAGTAATATGATTCTGGGAAACTAGTAATGGCACAATGGGGGATTTTGGGAAACCAGTGGCACAAATTTGACAAGGACAGTAATAGGTTTAAGCGGAAAAAACAGAAAGGAGCGGGAAAGGGGAAAAGAGAAAGGGGGGCCCTTTAAAATTTTATTTTTACCAAAACCGTAGTGCTAGGAAAAAAGAGGGAAAACATTTTTGAGACTATTGCTATGAAGGTAACCCCTTGGGAAGTATTTCCCCTTAATTGAGACGGGGTTTCCAAAGAAAAATGGGGAAAATCCCTTTGCGGAATGTCAAAATTCATTTTTTAAAAATTTTTTCCAAGTAATAGAAAAAGGGGAAGGGGGTGGGGGGGCATTGAATGTCCGGGGATCGCTTGAACTTTTTGCAAAAAACGGGTTTTAAAGTCTGAAGAACACATACAAAAAGTCTTTTTTGGAAATAAAATTTTTTTAAAGACGGGAAATAAAAAAATTAAATTTTAGGGGGATATACCGTCCCCCAAATTTAATAGGGACCAAGGGAGACTACTATGGGAGGAAACGGGTTAGGGCCACAAGACACGAAAATGTAGAAAATTCTAGGAGATTTAATTTTTAGTCATTTGGTTTGGGGAATTTCTTGACTGGGAATTTAGAATCATAACAATTTCCCTTAGAAGTATTCAGGATTTTTTTGAAGCAGTTTGGGAGGGAAACCCTACAAGAGGAAAAAAACCTGTTTCCCCCTTAAAGTTCTGGCAAAAAAATGAATTCCTTGTTAATAATTTAAAATTTTTCCAAAAAACCCTGGGGGGCTAGCAACCACAAATCAATTACTTTTTAGCATTGAAGGGAAGTACGATAGTGGGGTTTAACTCATAACAGCCCAAAAATTTTTTCGCTTAGCAGTTTCCATGGGTTTAGAGAAAAACTTATCATCTTTGACTGGGTGGGGGAAGAGAGTTTAATCAATATACATTTTTCCAAACCTACAAAAATTCGCTAAAAAGAATTTTTAAACCCCCGATAAAGAAATTAGACCCAAAATAAAAAATGACCCAAAAGGGATGAATAATAGGCTAAAAATATCTCCAGGGCAAAAAAAAGGGAATTTATAGGCGTAAAAAGGAGGTGGGGGGTTTCCATTTTAAAAATGATCAGAAATATTGACTTTAAAGAGGGACATTAAAAAGGGGGATAAAAAAAAGCAAAAAAGGGACTATGAAAAGGGGGAATAAAATTTGTGCTCGTTTTTAAATAAATTATTTTCTTTTGGGTTTTTACAAGGAAGACACTAACAATACCCCAGAAATTTAATGTTTTTTTTAGGGGCCCCTGAAGAAGAAAATTATGAAACATCCCCAAGTCACTAGTGAAAGGGTTAAAAACAAATAACCGACTGAAGAAAAAAAAAGTCGCCGGGTCCTGATAGTTTTTTTAAAGGGGGTTTTTAAAGGAAATGGCAAAATAAAACTCAATGAACCTTTTAACTTAATTTTTTTAAATTTTTACCTCTTCAAACAGGTGAAGTGTCTAAATAGGGAAAAAAAGGCTAATGAAATTTCCTATTTTTAAAGCGGGGGGCCAAATTTTTTGGCCGGGCAAATTCCCCGCCCAAAAAGGGCCGCCCCAAATTGTAGGAAAATTACTAAGTCAATTATGGCTGAATTAAAAAAGAACCATCTCAATAAGCTTTGCCTGAAAAATATACCCACCTGGTTTCACAAGAGGCCGGCCCTTGTCAAACCTAATTTATTAACTTTTTTCATTTAAGCTTTTGAGGCTTTTTGCCCCACGAAAAAGAATTTGAATTATTTACTTAGTTTTTTAGAAAGGGTTTTTTTGGATAATTTTCCGCCCCACGGGACGTTAAAGAAAGGGGCAGCTAAATGGCTTTGGGGGAAAAAAAGTGTCTCGTGAATCGACCCCCCCCCAAAAAGGGTTTCACAGCCGGGAAGCAGAGAGGCCCCAAAAAAGGGGTTAAATCCGAGGGGGGATCTGGAACAATTTGGCCCTTTCCCTCTCTTTTGATATCTCTCCAAGAGAGAACCCCAGTAAGGGTTTAAAAATTGGATAATTTAGATTTAAAAAAGGAAAAAGGGAAAAAGTTTTGGGTTTGGGGAAATGGGGGTATTGATGAGTGGAACATCTACCTATT